TTGAGAGACACAGTATTTGCTCCAAACACAAATTCAGCATTTGACCAGTATATCATTTTTGTGCATTCATAAAATCGTGCATTCATAGTGCAAACTGCATACTTAAATCCTCACACACTTCGCCTAATTCACATCAAAATTCAGGCTTCAAGATGATTTTTTGGATGGTTTACCGTTCAAAATTCAGATACTACCCTTCATTTATTCAATTTCCAGTCAAGTATGTGTTGTTCATTTCCCAGGAGATATTTTTCAGGAGATATTTCTGAGGATTAGATATAATATCACTTACATAAGGATTTTTTCTTATAAAATTTTTGTTATAAAATACAGAGAAAATAGATAGAGAAGCATGATTCAGCTTGCGTGCAGCTGCTCGGCCATGAAAACTCTGCCAAGAAGCTTTTATACATGTGGCAATGGGACACCTGAATGCATGATTAAGAGGTGTGTCCCAGTGCTTTTGTCCATATAGTCTGTATAGCTTAGATTCTTAGACACATGACTGAAGGTAAGGGATAAAACAGCTGTTTTATGGCAAGTAGATTGTGCAAGTCCAAACTAAGCCATATATGCATGAAACTTGTCTAGTGTAAGAATAAGAAATACCAGTGACAATGGCAATACAGTGCAAAAGATACCACGGGAAGCCAACATTTGTAGTTTGCCTTAATGTCCGAATGTTGATTTGGATTTTTTACAGCCAAATGATTAAAAGATACAGAGAAAATGGGACTCAACAACTGTGGAAGACCTGGTAGACACCAAAATTGTCACTATTACGTAAACAGCACTTAAAGCTTTCATCTTAGAGAGAGGAGAAAATCAAGCTGCTTCAGATCTGAAAACATCCACAGGTGTTTCTGTCCATCCTTCCACTGTGAGAAGACGACTCAGCGCTATGGGTCTGAAAGGATGTGTAGCCACCAAGAAGCCATTCATGAGAAAAGGACTGGCCATCTAAGAGTCCAGGCTTTAACTCAAAGTGCAACCAACTTCTAAGACTGAACTTTGGAGGTGTGGAAAAATACAGGTATCTGAAAGCAAGTCTCCTGACAAGAATGGAAGCTGTAATAAAGGCAAAGCGTGGACACACTAAATACTGAACCACAGGTGTTTCTGTCCATCCTTCCACTGTGAGAAGACGACTCAGCGCTGTGGGTCTGAAAGGATGTGTAGCTGCCAAGAAGACATTAATATGAAAAGGAAATAGGCAAAAAAGTCTTGCAAATCCAAGAAAATGCTGGCGTTCTCAGATAATTGGATTGATCAAATCAGAGTCCAGATCTCAACATCATTGAAAGTGTGTGCAGAAAATGCTTCTTTGTGTAATTTACTGTTAAAATGTTTTTTTTTTCCTGATGTTGAAAAATGAATAACTGACTGCAAATGAAATAACTGAAGGATGGTGGTTTGCACAGTACTGTGCTTTTACCCATTTTTATAACTAAATATGATTAGACAATCAAATGCAATAAAAGCTTTTTTGCATTAACTTCCATTAAAGGTTAATGACGTTTCATATTTCTCTTGAAAAGTTGCCAGTTTGGAGATTGGATTTAAGGCTTCGTTCTTACAGCGATGTTAATAGCGCTTAATATACATCACCAGAACCACAGAGGCAAGTCTATTTGAGAACTCGATGTGGTTTGAGGCAAGTCTGCGATTATTTAGGCATGCGGTTTGCAAGAAGAGCTAAACTAATGGGTACAGTGAGATATGAAACTGGATTTGAATAGATGTGGATTGAGAGAATGCAGTTAAAGAGACAGCAGATGCAGGCTTGTGTTTAGAGCATCACATCACTTGTATGAACTGCTGCTGGAGAATTCCTCTGCCCCTGTTCCACCACTTCTCTCAGAGCTGCTGTGGGACGTTTCTATTTTTTCTCTCTCTCTGCTGTGACTGTAGGCTGTGGATATTATATGCACGAGCCTTCACACTTCATCTTTAACAAGCTCCGTCTCGCACTCACCAGGGTGGCCGATCCTGTTTTATGATTTAAAACAGCTGTGCAGGAGCACATTTGAATACAGAGTGGTAACAGCACTCATGGGAGTGGCGTATTGTCTTGCTATGTAGTGCTTTTTCCTCTACACACAGTGAAAGGTCAGTTTCTGTGTAGACCACACCAGCGCACCATCAACTCTACTAGGTCCCCAGTGAGAAATTTTGTTGGAACCTTCAATTTGCCGCTGCTATGCTAATACTAAAATGTTGTAGGATAGAAATGTTCAGTATTTAGTGTGTCCACTCTTTGCCTTTATTACAGCTTCCATTCTTGTCAGGAGACTTGCTTTCAGATACCTGTAAGGATATTTTTCCACACCTCCAAAGTTCAGTCTTTGAAGTTGGTTGCACTTTACGTCAAAGCCTGGACTCTTAGATGGCCAGTCCTTTTCTCATGAATGGCTTCTTGGTGGCTACACATCCTTTCAGACCCATAGCGCTGAGTCGTCTTCTCACAGTGGAAGGATGGACAGAAACACCTGTGGATGTTTTCAGATCTGAAGCAGGTTGATTTTCTCTTCTCTCTCAGAGATGAAAGCTTTAAGTGCTGTTTACTTAATAGTGACAATTTTGGTGGCCTACCACGTCTTCCACAGTTGTTGAGTCCCATTTTCTCTGTATCTTTAATCATTTGGCTGTAAAAAATCATAATCAACATTCTGATAGTAAGGCAAACTACAAATGTTGACTTCCAGTAGTATGTTTTTGCACTGTGCTGTCATTGCGATGGGTATTTCTCAGGTTTAATGTATATGACTTAGTTTGGACTTGCACAGTCTACTTGCTATAAAACAGTGATTTTATTCCTTACCATCAGATACATGTCTATAAGAGTCAAAGCTATATATGCTGTATTGCGTTCTACGTATCATTGCTGTCGAAACAAAACTCAAATCTCCAAATAGGAAGGAAAATATGCAACTTTTGATGCAAGTTAATGTGATAATATTTTATCCCAAGTCATTTTGGACCATTTCTATTGTTCCATTTGTTGTGGAATTCTGACATTTGACAGCTGGTATTTTTAAATGATGTTAAAAGAAATTTAAAACCACAAAAAAATGAAAAAATCGAGATACAAGTTTTTGTTCTGATAGCAATGATATGTATTGTTTTCTGTTTACTGAAGGTGCAATGTAGTAATGTTATGTTGTGACCAAACACCAAGGCAGATTTAGAATATGGCAAATAATTATAATTTTGGTAAAGATTCTACCTTTTTTGCCATGTTTATGTTACTGTTTGACATTGAAAGAAATGGATAAAGTGCAGTCCTGATCATACTGGTACAGAAACTAGATCATCATTCACTGTGTAACTAACTTTAAAGATCCCCTGCACTCAAAATGTGTTTTTTTTTAAATGGTTAACTCTGCTTTGATGGCATATTACGGCTATGTAGACACATTTATATCAAATGTGTTATCATAGCAAAAAGTTCACATTTTTCCATTAATAACACAAACTTTCCCAGTACCTCCCCCAAAAAAGTGATTTGTAGGCTGCTACGTAGCTTAGTTTTGTCCGTCACAAATCTATCACGGTCAAATATATTAAAATCATAATGAGCCACGAGAAGCCAGGACCCGAGGGCCAATCACCGATGACCATATAGATTGGTTGACCATATTCCCATATGTCAGATGGCTCTCATTAAGAACAGCACGAGCACCTGAGGCGAGAGGGAGAGAATAGAACTTGTTGCTTGACCCTCAGTTGCTTCAGCCGTCACATTCAATGGCCAGTGGGGTTGAACGTGAAGTGTGGTCTGGTGACCTCACCAGGATTCAATCACAGGACTCATGTCGCTTCCCGCAGCTCTCATCAGGCCTTGGGGCTCAGGTGCTGCCTCATACTGCCTCTTCAGCGTCAAGTAGTAGCAGGTGGCTTAGCATGCGACCTGTGGGCACAGGTTCATTCCAGCTCAATGAAGCCTCAGTGACGCACATTTAGAGAATAAAGACTGAGTGGATAAACCCGTCTTTGTGTGTGTGAAGCTGTTGCTTAAGTGTCTTTTAATTCATATACTTGTTGCATCAAAGGCTAATGATAGTTTGGCTAAACCACCAGCATTTCCGGCTACTGACGCACCGCACTGAGGCAGTTTTAGAGGATAGAGTCTCAAATCTGAGCGAGTGAAATCAAGTGACTAGTGCAGGAGCGACATAAAGACAGAATCTTTCAGCTTTTTAATGTCGTAGTGGGAGCTTATTTTTGTTTCTACTTCACGTCGTCTCAATCTGCTTTTACAGTTCGTGTAATTGTGCATATTCACAGACCTTTGCATTCTTTATGAGTGTTGAGGTTTATGGATGCTACTGTGCCATTTTAGTAGCTTCTTGGGTTTAATAAAAGTACTAAAATATGTAACAATTTAGTATTCACCTCTGATGATTTTTTGTGTTCTAATTTCTGACTTTAGGCGTTCGTTAATGATGTTATGTAAACATGTTTAAACAATTATGCAATGTTAATCAAATATATAGCACAAACACAATAAAACTCTAGAACTTCTAAAACTTCTAAGGGCCAGAACGTTCCACTTCTTTCCACTTTGCTTTAACGGTTTTCCACATGGGACGGTATAATGCTGATTCCTCGCTCTGAGCACATGCAAAGCCAGGCTCTATATGACAGAACGGAGCTGCTGCCGACATGCTTCCAATTCCTCAGCTGCCTGAAATTTCCCCGGCCTGCGCCTCTCGCACATGAAACGGCATCGGAGATGCGCGATTTCAACAAGTGTTTCGCAGACCAAAGTGGGGGAAAGGGAGAAGCTAACATGTGAGAGCACAGGCTGATGAGTGAACGCTTGATCGACAGACCGAGGCACAAACCGTATGAAGGGGGCCTGTGAAAAAGCATTATTAATGGCCCCCATGCTGATATGTGTTGAACTGTGTGACAGCGAGCACTTCTGATCAGCGTCTTATCTCGCAGTAATGTTTTTTCTCCTGTGTGCTCATGGCTGCTCATTTCTCTCTTTTCAGCGCCACCCAACAACATCTCGGTGGTAGCGGAGAACACGCCTGCGCCGTTCAGCCGCTACCAGGCCCAGAACTTCACTCTGGTCTGCACTGCCAAAGGAGGCAAACCTGCCCCATCGGTGAGTCCACACTGACCTTATCTTACCTAATATATCGTGGACCATACATTTAGAGACTTTGACCCCTTTAAGTGTTTCAGATCTTCCCCTATAGTACTTGGTGTGTGTGCGTGTCCACGTCGCTCATAGTAAAATGGATCAGCATGTCGAATTTAACTCTCTTTGCTGCCTTTATCGTTGGATGGGCAAGTGTGCAAAAGCATTCATATCACTATGGAAATGGTTATTATTGATTCGTCAGAGTAACAATGTTGTTCTTTTATTATTCCTTCAAAGTAGCAATAAAAGATGATTTAATTGTAAAATATATACACAAGATTTAATATATACTGGTGTGCTACAGTTCCGGGCATGAGGCCGAAGGCTGAATATACCACCAGTTATGCCACCCTTTCATTATTGGCTTTTTATTAGATTTTATTGGATAATCAGACACAAAAACAGACTGAAAAGAATTTTACACTAAAATAGCCCTGAAGTTGACCGGTTGCATGTAAATTAAGTGTCGCATCGCTAAACCTTTAGGATGTTTACACTGGACACATCAAGTCTACTCATCAAGATAAAAACAAACTACAAACTTATCAGCTAACAGCTTGAGAGATCCAGCTACACATTTTACATTATATGGCTCACTTTTCTATCTGTTTTGGTTAGTTTAACCATGTTTTGATCAAAGCTGGCTGGTAACGCAATGTGTCAAAAAATGGAAATGGATTGACTTAAAAATGAAGTTCTGCCACTCATGTCTGGTGTGAACAGCTTTGTTGATTACAATGGGACCATCTTGCTTGTCGTTTGCTGTTATTGTGGTTCTTTTTGCAGGCGTGTACTTATTATAAGTGACTCTTACTTTTTTAATAGCTGGTTGCTGTTGCTGCATTACAGAACAGTAAGACAAGTGATACCTAAAGAGAATTAGTGGGACGGCCGTTATTGAGAGATACCGGAACTCATAGAATGTCTTTCTGCCAATCACATTGCAAAGCTGGAACTAACTATGGTGATTACATTCAAACACGTTCTTGCTCAAAATGGTAGTTTGGAATGGACAAAATTAAAAGTGTTCAGTTTTTTGTCTTTACATATTAAAGTAAATGTGATGACAGCATTGAGAAAACATGTTATTTAATCTTTTCAAAGTAGCTGCCACACTTTCCGGATCTCAGATAAACTCTTATAAACTCCAACTCCCAAGATGCATCAGTCAGTCACGTGACCCAGCCAACCAACCATCTATCAGTCATCAAATCTCAGTCACCAATTCTAATTGTCACCTGTTACCTCTGGTATTCATAGTATTTAATTACATCGTTAAGAAGGCCATGTTGCCACTTTGGTATTAAGCTGTGACTCACAGTGCGCTGATCACTGTTACTACAACCCTACAAGTAGAGCTGGGCGATATGGCCAAAAATGTTATCACGATAAACAAAGTTTACTTTCGTGTAAATCAGGGCTGTAATTTACATGAACCCACTTCTTTCTTTCACTTTCGTTGCTTGTGAATGCACTAATACTAAAATATGACTGAGCGCTGTAACAGTGCTGTAGTTGAGAGGAGCAGACGTGATTTAATGCTGCTAAAGCTGTTAGGATGTTAGGAAAGAGGTGAGTTCACTGTAGGACAGTACAGTTACAACACTGACCTCGTCACTCACACTCGGTCACAGGAGAACAGATCACCGGTCGCTCCACTCAAACAGGGAATGTATAACTCCGCATTTCAGCCATTGCTAAAGACTCATCCTACTCGTCGCCCCCTCCCTCTCTAATCATGTCAAAAACTCGGAAGTGTGCCCTCTCCTGGCGAGAGCAGAGTAGTGTCGCTTTCCTTGCAGTAGAAAACGCCACCAAGGCTTTTGCTGAATGTGGAAGTGTGAGAATGGTGTATTATATCAAACATTTATCGAACCTGTCTTATCGCTCTATCGAGGAAAAGTTATATCGCGATAATTATCGTTATCATTTTATCGCCCAGCCCTACCTACAAGTGGCTAAAGACCAAGCAAAATAGACCAGAATGACCACTAAAGTTTTAAAGACATGTAGAGACTTTAAATGCAGTCTCCAGAAAACACTGCTCGATTGGTGGACTGGATCTGTTTAGCCTGCATATCTCCAGAGTTCCGAACATTCCAGGGCTTGATCTTTTATTAAAACTAATAAAAGTGGCTACCAAAGCTGCCAAAGCTCTTAAATTATAAACTCATGCATGTATATTAAGCTCAAGTCAGCTTCTTATTCGCCAGCTTCTCATTTGAGTTTTCCGTTCAACTTTTAACAGTGCAGTTCTTGCACTGAGGCGCCGTATCACTTGATGATCAATGTTCTCATCACCTGAGCACTTTATCACTACTCACCAGTGTCAGGTTTACATTTCCTGTTACACTGTGCAATAATGCTATGACTGAGAACAATGTGCAATATTTTTTCCATATAGTTTGCGATATTTCTTATAAATACGTATATATTTATTTTTTCCCTGTGTTTTTTTATGTCTGTCTATGCTGTCTAGTATGTCTGTTTGCAGTTGCCTTTATATTATATTTATGTATATTTTGCACATCGGAGTAATCTCGTTCAGCTATGCACTCCTTGTTATATAGACTGAATGACAATAAAGTTCACTTTGACTTTGACTTAAGCGTAGAATAAATTTCAAAAGTTGATGAATATGAAGCTGACATTGGCTTTCCTCAATAAATGATCCTTAATCAACAAATACCTCAAACGTTTGCTTGGAGATGTTTAACTATTACTGAGCAGCACAGCGAATCTATAATCAGCCATTGGAGCGTCTCAAAAACTGTTTTCAAAAAGTGTTTAAAAAACTCGTTTTACTGCCTTTGCTGGATCATTTATGATTGTTATCTTATTACAAACAGCCACAGCTTTGCTGAATGAACTTGAAGTTGGCAACCAAAATGGTGGCAGTGCGATTATGACATGATCAGAATACTATCAATATTTGATTACCTTTCTATTTCTTTCATTCATTGTGAAGTATTGCCTCTGCATACTGAGCCTGTCCCATTTGTTTGTTCTCCTGTTAAAGCCCCATTTTGCTTGCTGCTGTTGTTGTTGTTGTTGTTGTTTGTTGTTGTTGTTCAGATTTTCCCCTTTGGCTAAGGTTACTGGTTTGTTTGCTTTTTGGTTTAGACCTCACTTGTTTTCTTACAGCTCTTTTTGGCTGATCCCATGTTCCATGTTGTGCTCTTCTGGATTTTGACCTGGTCTGGTATTAACTCTGCTCTTCTGGGTCGTCCTCTTTTTAATAAACCTTATGGTTTATTTTACATCCGCGAGTGTCTAGTCTGTTCACCCAGCGTTACAGCAGCCATCAAATGCAACTTCCCCCTGTTTCTGAGGTCCTTTAGTTAATAATAATTTTTAGTAATTATGTAGTAATCTTGTTGGAGTATATTTTGACTGAAATGTGTAAAATTTGCAACATCAAACACAACTTTTGTCTTTGTAGATCAGCGAGAAAGTCAGCATTTATTAAAGTGTTTTTATTATTTTATTTAAGTGCTGTTTTTTATAATTGTGGTAGTTGTACTTGACTTTTTGATATTAAGAAAGCTGCAGTTGTGCTGTTTTATTTCAGCAATGTGAGTTTCTTCCGCTCCTCATTGCTCACTAGCAGCTCAACACAGAGTCGCATACAGAAAGCCAACAGTGTCCTAGCTAATCTGTTTACAGTGTTATTGAGTAATCAAAACTTTATTTGATTATACTGATAGAAATAGTCAAGTCAGTTCCCTTTCTGCCTGCAGAAAGAGACTACAGTAAGCAAAAATAGCCACTTTTGGCCTCAGCATTAAGGGGATAATTGACTCTTGCATACCTGCGTGCACATCGCAGATCACATTAGTTCTAGCCTCGTTAAACCTCGCAGTCTCATTCAGCTGTGCACAATAGCATACAATGGCATTGAACATTGGAACAAAGGCCCTGCTGCTCAACCCCTGGCCATTTAGCGCCCACAAGTCCTCTGTCCTTCAAATCTTTTTGTGGCCACGTGGTTTGGAATCAAGGCTGTGACCCCTACCAATGCCACTGGAGTTGGCTGCTGAACTCCACCAGGCCATTAATCACGCTCCATGGGTGCATGTTAATGTATTCTGGATCTATACTGCTCCCATCTCCAGCAATTAAGTGCCCAGTGCGAGAGGAGCACGAGGTGAAAATGATTTCCGCCACCCTGCCTGCGGTCTCATTCGGCCAGGCGCTGGGCTAGCTTTCACCAGCCTCCATCCCGCGAGTGCAGGGCTAGCACCTGGGGAGATTCCCCCATATTTCTGCACTCATTACCAGCCGCCCCACTGACACTCACTCACTCATTCAGACACGGGTCTACTGGCCTCTAAGCTTTGTCAGCGTCCACTTTGCACTCTTCATTAAACTCCCTGGTAGACCTCCACGGCACAGGCAGGCAAATGGAGCACGCTGGGCTTGAAAAGAAGAGGCTGTGGTTTGTGATCTTTTTTTGGTACAAATATTTGACAGTTAAGTTTGATGATAGATGTCGACCCTGGTGTGTTTTTCACAGTAGCAACAAGGTCAAGACTGTTTCAGTGCTGCTTCTGCAATGCTGCACTCGCCAGATCTTTAATTTAATGGTTCATTAAATGCTGATATTTGCTCAGTTATTTTATACTCACTGAATTTCTACGTCTTTTTAGTCATAAGCAAAGCAGAAGAGTTTCGCTACTGATGGCTGCCGCATTAGAGCCAAAATCTACGTGTAATTCTTGAACAATTCATTCAAGCCTCTATTTGAAACTTGCTAAGAACTTGCAATTAAATATTCTTGTCATGCTGGAAGTCGAATGGTGTCTTGTTAATTGCAAATGCATTGAAACATCGTCTACAAAATTAACTTAGAAATGACGCTTTTCTGTACGTTTAGGCACAATGTGTTTTTATTAGCTGAATTTAGTATACAGAGGAGTTTAATAAACAGAGGAGAAAGTCAAGCTCTACTCTCAAGCTCA